AGCTTTTTGTTCGCGACTAACACTGTCCTCTTAGGTTTATGACGTAGGCTGCTTCAAGAGTGTGGAGGGGATGGTTGGAAAAGGACGGACGGATGGTCGTGGGTCCAATAGAGTAGGAAGCCTCTGGGAAAGCGTTTGGGGGGGAGGTTTCATGATAATATCACAATATCATACAAAAGATGTCGAGGGGTGGTTTGTAGCGCATACAGTCCGCGCCCTTGGACAGGCCTTTCATGTTAGACAGTTCGCCGCCTGTGCATTCGTTGCTATGCATTCGTTGCTGTGCATTTGTTGCCTATGCATTTGCCTGCTGTGCATTCAGTGTCATGGCGCGTTCGGTGTACTAGCAAGTGCTTTAGAACGCCGCACCCGAGGGCACATGGTGGATGTATATGGCCACGCTGACGCTGACGCTGACGCTGGTCGGATTGGGATCAGCTCCTGGTCCATATCAGTTTCGACCACGTTATGCAGCGATGCAGACAAAGCAAGCAGCAGGCCAAGCGGGTCGAGGAAAGCATCCCATGCCACCCGTGGGCGTAAATCCTCCGAAAAAAAGAAAGAAAAAAAGAGAATCAAGAAAAAAAAGAAGCAGTCCTTTGAGCAGTCTCTCGCAGCCGTGCCAACCATGATCCATCATCAATTGGCAGTCAGCAAAGGGCGTGCGTCAGCGGGGTTGCCAGACGGCGCAAGTGTCTGTCCCGTTCTAGAAAGCTTGCCTTCCGCATGGGGACGGCAGAGCAGGCCGGCGGATCACGATTCTGCTTTTCGTCCTGATGGTGTGTCTGGACTGACATGAGACGAGGCGGGACGCAAGGCAAGGCAAGGCAGCACGCGGGATGGCACCGCAGTTCGGGGTGGCACTGCCGCTTGTTGTACGCAGATACACGGACACGGAGATGCATCCATGGAGGCCCGAGAACGGTCTCAGGTACTTTGGAGCCTTGAGCCAAGGCTATTTCAAAGTTTCTCATCTGGTATAAGGCGATCAAGCGTTGTTACATGACTGGTCTAGAAAGCTGACTTCTGCCATTCCATCTAGAGCGCCCAGTACGTATCGTTGTGCCTGAGGTCGTTCTCAGCCTACAGGGATGGGGGAGCTGTCTGGTGCATCCTGGCCGCTGCAGGTCCCGAGAGCTGTCTGGCTAACATCTGGCGGACACCTGGCGAGACAGGTCGGGGATGAATGGTGGCAGGCACTGGAGGGCAGCGACAGGCCGATCAGGGGATTTCTTCGTCAGAGTTGCGACGTCAGAGTTGAGACGGGATCGTCGAGGCAGGGGGGGCTCGGAACGGACGCGTAGCCTTGCCTGCACGCCTCCCACCCGGCGCTGTGCCTGGCGTGCCTGGCTTGCCGTCCGGGACTACCAGGCATCTTAACGTAGGCGCAGAGCGTCTTACCTGCCGCTGCCGATGTGGGTTCGTGCCTCTCGAGGTCCGGTTCCAGCGCACTAGGAGGCTCGCGCTATAAGGGGAGGAGGCTGGTGTGCAGCCTGTTTTTGTTTTTTTA